GACTTTGATCAACATTCCCAGCACAAGGGTGAACGCAGGTGATAAAGCCAGTGTTGGGTATGGAGAGTTCTTATGAAATCTGTCCAAAAAAGCATACCATTCCACATTTAAACAAGCAAGTGATAGTGAAGGAATGATAAGAGAATATAGGCTTGGTGATCAGCCGATGGCGGAAGAAGAGATATCACAACTGCCGAGCAAATAATTGGTCAAAGGCTGGACTTCACTTGTCTCTTCGACGAGTTGTAGTGTGGTGCTAAGACTGAAAAAGCTCACTAATGATGTCAGCGAAACGTCTGGAAATATGCCACGTCCACGGTCCGACTCTGGAAATTATCATGTCTACTATGGACTCCGGACTAGATGCGTTCCTCTAGGTCTTCCTACCAATATGACCAACGCAATATTCATACTATATCAATTGTTTGTACTGTTCATTATTTATCATTGATTTCATCATAAACTCAGGGAGAGGTATTGACTTCGAAATTACTTACCTTGCTTCCTTCAAATCTTTTTGATAAACTCACAAACAGTGCAATTGAAATGCTCAGTTTGGGCATGCTTTATATGAATTCAATTATGAATAGGTTTTATGTAACACTATTTCGCTCTTTTGATGTCTATATCATGGCTCTCATAAAGATGACTACTTGGCTCCCGGGACTTGGAATATTTAATAAAGCTATGAAGTTGGGTTCACTTTTCTCTTTTTCTTTTTTCATTTTTATTTCAGATTCATGCAGGCATGGGTTATATGAAGGAAACTGGCCTTGAACGTATTATGCGAGATTTGCGAATCTTCCGAATATTTGAGGGTGCAAACGACACTTTACGTCTCTTTGTTGCCCTGACTGGACTCCAGTACTCAGGAAAGCATCTTCAGGCCAGCGCGAGCGGCGCTGTAGATGCTATTCTCAATAGGGTCAAGTAAGTTATTTTTCCTTCCAAAGGTCCTTATGCTGATTCACCAAAGTTGGAATGATTATCCTCTTTATCAAGGCATTTATTGGAGCGTTTCACTTCACTACCTTTGTATTATCATTTAAATCACTCGTATGTAACCTTGTTACCGGTATTGTGGCTTTTTCTTGTGAGTTTAACTAATTGCATAGGTCACAATGGAACTTCATAGTCAATATTTAAACCGTCCAGAATATGGGTCACTAAACCCCTCAAAATCAGTCCCGATGGGGTGTATGATGAGATTGCTTAGATATAAGATATCATAGAGAGTGCTTTCACAAATTAATTTGAATTATATTGAAAGTAATACTGCTGCATCTTTATTATATCTGATTATAGAAAATGGTTACTTTTTTTCTTTTGTAAACCTTCAGCACCCTTTTTCTAGGTCGAATAGAACAAATTTGTTAGCTTAGGCTCAAGAGCTAAAACTCCTCACATTTGATAATATTTCTTCTAGCATAAGTATGGAATCATCTCACAAAAATGTCAGAGCTGGGGAGGACGAGTGAACTATCGCCTAACGAATCAACAATGCGGTTACTCTCGCTAGTCATCACCTACTTCTAAACGCTTTCCATGATCTCTCTATTTCAGCATGAGATTTGAGCTAAGGCTGACTTATCATCAACCATCTGCGAAACCGCCACTCTTCATACTATATTTATCTGCTTCTCGATAGTCTTATTGAATCTCTTGTGAAAGTACCTCCAGAACCCGTATTATAAAATATGCTATTATTATGCCAGACGTTTCTGTTTTTAAGAATTAAGTCTAGTCTTTATTCTGATCTCAAATGATACTTTAACCCTTGGAAAATTTCGTTCAACACGGACCACCGTCTTTTTCATTCAGCTTGCGTAGCTGTCAAGGCCTGTAAATGAAAGCACTCAGCAATATAATCATTCCATTTATATTCAAAGTAGCCTGTTCATGCTGAGAATTAGAATATGTTATCATGAGAGGAATTACAGTAAGTGATAAGAGATATGTATCATAAATCCTAAAGTTCGCATATACAGCTAGTTCTGCTCTGCCTTATTGTCCCTTACTACTAGCTCACTCAGTGACATTTAATAGTTAAGCCCTTCGAAATTGCTGCACATAGTTGGGTTTTCTTATTGCTTTGGTTATAGGAATATTGCTATTCTTGAGGAACACAAAACTTGATTGTCTTCTGTTAAATTTAGCAAAATAAAACGGACTCTCAAAGCTTCATATCGCATTCTTTTCTTTATTCACAACCTACATTTTCTTCCAATAACATTAATTCTTTGTATATACCAACCTTATGAATTCAACCTATCAATGAGGTGCAATAGATTGCGGCTTAAGAGAATTACATTCTTAGTTTAGGTCCAATTCTTGGATATTGAAGTAGGCCTGGCCTTATTCGATACCATCCGTATCCAGTGTAGAAAGTAGGAGGGAATTTGTCTAGATTTTTTAGCGATTTTCGCTCGACTCAATAAGATGCTTCATAAATGAATTTCTAAATTCGTCCCCAGGATAGATTTGAAATCTTCACACATTCGCCCAAATGAAGGTGGGTGCCTACGAACTCAGATTGAAGTGACCATATGAGCTAGTTTCGGCCTTTCTAAGCGTTTACTCCTATGTGATTTTATCAATATACAAGTTCAAATGTTAGCATGCTACTTTTTTGTCATAAGTAGAGTAAAATTGATCGGCTTAATCTGGCCTTGTTTTTGCTCTCTTAAAGAAACTTATCTATCAAGTCTTTGCTTACCAAGTGGCTTACTTTGCATTCTTTTTGCCAAATATAGTGATAACTAGTGTTTTATCAGGCTATGCGTAATGAAGTTAAACATATGAGATCAGGATACCTGCATAACATGAATAAAAGAATTTTTCTTACATCTTTGCATATATGCTTACTCGGAGACGTATAAATTTTTCTTTTTGATCTGTATGTCAATTACGATGTTTTAATGCTTTGATGCACACAGGCCATTTTATGATCTTAAGTAGATCACAAATTAGAAACTTTCGTCTGAAATTCCAAGATATGGATACCAAGAGTTATTAGATTTCGATGAATCTTTTAAAATAATATTATTGGTGAGATTTTCATTACTTATGGAAGTGCATGATGAAGAGATTCGAAGGTCAGTCTCACCAGAAGGCGACAGCTGATTCCTGTTTAATTGCAGTCTTTTCGCCTTAATACGACGTTCAGATTGACGCATCCACGAGACAACCCCCCTTAGTTCAGGCGAAAACTGGCTGAACTTTACTCAATTATACGACTAATATCTTAGCTAGAATTCATTCTTGCAAAAGTCTCAAGTTAAAGTTAGGTCGAGAAGACTGTCTGGCTCTATCTTAAGTATTATGTATACTCATAAACAAAAAACGAAAATGTATATACATAGATAGATATATAATAATTCGGCTCCAAATAACGTTAGATTAAGAAAGAACAGCTTTTTCAATTGTGAATACGTAAGGAGACCTTTTCTCATGCGTTATCTTTGCCTTCGTGCATTGTCCCAATTAGGAAAGTGGGGAATAAAAACCCTTTTCAGGAAAACTATGACATTTTCTTCAGTTAAGCCCACTTTTAGAGAGAAAGTTGACTCATTATCCAAATTGGGTTGCTACAACATAATGTGTTCATGTGGTCGGTTTTAATTTGGAGAGACTTGTCGTCCCATTCGACAAAGGGTGGTTGAGCATAAAAGCGCCTGCAAAGGCTGTTGGGTTCAAAAATACGAGCTTGCTGAGCATAGAGCAGAAACGGGACACGAGAATGAATGGTCTCAAATGTGTCGTTTTGCTGACTATGGCATGTCTGCGGCTAAAAGAAGAATTAGAGAAGCCATCGGGATAAACCAAATAGGGAATATATTGAATGTAAGGAATACCGGCGAAAAGATAGGTAAAAATTACTTGTTCTTAATTAATAGACTCAAGGATAAAGAGGGTGTTGAGTCGCCTGCAAAAGGGAGGCGACACAACTTATGCTTTCTTGTTTTGGCTTTAATCATAGTCACTTCTCTGTACTTTTAGCCCATTCTTTCTCTCTCACATGAAAACAAAAAATTGGCCATCAACACAACCAGACATGTGTCCGACCTTGTGCGATCGGAGTGATGGTTATAACATATAGGTAGAAAGAGAGAGATAATGATCATCAAATCTTGATGGCCGAAATAGGGTGAATACATCTCTACACTGATTTACTGGTAGTCTCGAAACCCTACTCTAATACGAATATAAGTAACGTTGTCGATTACTATA